AGTGTCCGTCCCCGCCCCCCCCCCCCGGCACCCCAACCCGGTCACAGAAGAGCGTTCACCGCCGCCACCTTCTCTCGCCAGGCGGCGTGACAGCCAGGTGGTGCTGGCTCATGCCGCAGACCTGTACCGGTGGAAACAGCTGACGCTGGAGGAGGTGGAGGAGGAGGCGACGACGGAGGCGGCGGCGGCGGAGGAAAAATTCACTTTGCACAAGAAGGGAACACAAAAAAACCGAGTGCAAGCCAGGCAACGAGAGACAGAGCCTGTGCGCCGAAGACCAGAATTGGGAAAACTTTGGCCAGGTTAATTAATTCGCATTGTTTGTGCGTTGCGCTACTGCTGTGGCTGCCATTGCTGCGGCCTCGCCACAAGACGCTGGGCGCTGCAGAGATGGGCGTGTTGTTTCGGTAGCTGGTGTCGATCAATGAAGTCCAACTTCTCAGACAGCAACCATCTCGATGCTGTCTGCCAAGGCTAACTTCAGTCCTGTTCCTGTTACCCCCTGTTTACCAATTGCAGAACCTTTCACCCTACCACAAGCATTCCGAAGTGAGTCGCTGTCAAAGGAAGGCAAAACGTCGAGTATGAAAAGGATTTCTTAGGATCGGTTTGAAAATACAGACGATGTAACACCACCAAAGTGAGTTTGTTCAGTCGAGGTCGGTTGGCTGGGAGATGCGTCTCAGTAGACCCCGACAACATTCAGTAATTGGATGATGACGCGGAGGAGGTAGAGGTAGAAGTTTGAGAGGTTTTCAGTGAGTGGAGGTGAATTCTGACCGAGGATTACAACCATTCCTTCAACAAAACTCAATTTTTAGCGTTGCTATAAATGTGGGTTAGTTACTGACATGACCAGCGTGACAGAGGCAAGGTGCCAAGTCGAACGAAGGACTACTCAAACGGTAATGGAAACATTTAAGTGTATAACCTAATTTATACAGATTTTCAGCAAACTTATTTAAAATAAAAAGGTAGGAAACAACGAACACAATCTTGGAAATATTGTCCATCGTTTTCTGTGACCTTGCGCCAGGTCGTAGGTAACGTACGAGTGCCGCCATGAACGAAACTTGCAGGCTTTGAGGCAAAAAAAGTCATCATAGACGAATTTACGCACATCGTTCAACGTTCCACGAGATGTTGATCCACTAAGGCGTGCTCCTGCTGCTTTGACCGGGGTAAATTGTTGTCGGATGAAGGCCAAAACCTGGTGAATATGCCGTGTGTGGGGAGAACTTCCCATCCCGAGTTCTTCTGAGTTGCAACGCGAGGTGGTCAAGCGTTGTCATGCAGCAGCATCAGCAGTATAACCTGCCTGTTTCCTTGCTCAGTAAAAGGCTTTTTCTGATCAAGTTCGTAGGTCGGTTTGTTCAGTTGTGGGCTGTAGCGTTGCGCAGTCACCATCTGACGACCAGTTCCCAGACGTTCATTGTAAAGTACACCCCTAATAACCACACACCACCAGACACGCAGTAGAATCCCCGTCATGTGGATGTCCTGTTTTGACGTCGATGTACTGGGTTGCCGCTGTTCAACCCACGACATCCTTTTTACGTTTGGGATTCCCGTAAAAACATACTTTTCATGACCCATCACAAGTTTCAACAAGAAGTAACTTCAGCCGACGCCTGTTGGGTAATGGCGATTAGTCTAAAGGAAGATGACAAAGTCACGCCTTCGAATAGAGCCATTTGTGCCGTAGAGCGTTCAGAAAACACATCGGCTAACAGTGATTAATGAGTTCTGCAGAAGCATGACCAGATTTGAAACCCGCTGGAAAACAGTTGTACTCCATGTGAAGGTAATGCCATTCTGAGCAGCACAGAGTCGTGATCGTCAATGGGGCAGCTCAGATGTTCCACAAAGGTCACCAAGCTCCTCCGCATTCCCTTTCACATTAAGAGTTTTTTTCTACAGGGTTAGGGCGGCAGGTTTTTACAGCGAAGACTGCCGCAAATTTTTGGCGCTGCTGCCAAAGATACCAGGACTAGACTAAACCACAACGATGCAAGACGAAGACCAGAATCTGTTCGGAATGAACTTTGGCAGGCAGATAAGTTCTCGAAGTGAACAAATGTGAGACATGTGGGCTCAACTTTAGGGGTTGAGATGATAGCCCCATCACCATGTTTTGGTCCACCACGATGTCTTGTACGCGGCCTAAGTGTTCTACGAACGCCCAGTTCAACCACATCCCCACACAATTCAGCTCACCGCATTCAGTCCTTTCATTGAATTGAATTCCTGATGGAACCAATCAGTGATCAGATCGATGTGGTGTTTGTCGTAATCCAAGAAATGCTTGTTTTTTGCTTTATACGCTCAACATTGTGATCGTAGACACAGTTCGCGGTCAACTTGGGCTCGCTTCGATCGATCAGATTACAATTCAGGACCAAATCACCACTGAATAGATGAATTCAACTGGATTTATGAGCACAATCGTTACTGACGAGCTCAACCCAATAGTTTTGCCCGTGTCCACTGTCATATTCGAAGGAATCTACAAAAATTCCACGTTTTTTAAGCAATGCTGAATCGAAAGACTTCTTACGTAGTACTGATCGCGTGGTAGGGATATTTGTCAGAAGGAAAGAATTTAAGACCATAACGCAGTGTTCAGTCGACTTGAAAGATTGTTCGACAGAGTCATGGCTTCGTGGAGCATCACCGTCCAACATCCACCGCACCTAAATACGCCATTCAAGAAATTTCGTCTTATGAGCTTGCCAATTTGCTGTCACAAGTATCGACAACAGCAAACTGGCTATTCTAATTGAAAGGTGCAG